GATTTGGAAAATTTTAATGTGTATCTTATCTCGAGTACTGAACTTGGCTTGTGGGTTTTGCACTGCCCAATTGTTAAACCCCCAGCAAAATTTAACAGACCTGAGACTTGAGTTGTGTATACAACAACTTGCTCAACAGCAATAGTGAAATTCAAAATTTTAGGTGCATGCTGAGAGGACAAGTTGGTGAGGAGAGTGAAGAATTCAAACATTATGTGATGATGACATAACCCACAAGACAAGGGAAAATTAACGTTCTATGTCCCATGCTCACGAGTTTAGTGGAGAAATAATAAAGGAGAGTGAGTATCTTTCTTTCCCTATACCTACAGCTACTACAGCTGCTGCTACACCCACACCACTCACTGCAACTTATTTAATATTCTTGTCCCTCTCCAGCCTCTCTAACATATTGAGCTAATAATATGATTCCAATTCAATTTCTTGCATTCAATTCTGACCCAGAATTACATATGGCTGATGTAAATACTAAATACAATTACATCTTGTGGACCCAATTCCTATTCAACTTTTCTTCGCCAAATATGTTGACAAGTTTATGTTATATTATATCCAGAGAGAGATAGGATCATTTGACATCAGTGTCAAATTTAAAATTTGACACCTCATCTGAAAGCCATTAGATCAAAAAAGATCAATGACTCTGATTTGTAAGCATGTGACACCATTGATCTTTTTTTGATCTAATGGCTCTCAGATGAGGTGTCAAACTTCAAATTTGACACTGGTGTCAACGGATCCTACCTCTTATATCCATTCTATATATATAATTTTTAACATTCTATTACACAAGAGAAAATATATATATATTTAATATCAAATACATGGATTAACTGATAAGAAATTGTTCTAACTAACGTGGTCTAGAGTTCTAGTCGAATAATCAATGAACGTGGATACTATCTGGAAAATATATATTTTCCTTTTCATAATTAATATTTTAAAATTAAAAAAATTATAAACGTAATATCTTAACAAAATAAAGAAATAGATGAGTGTACCATACTGTGGTGGAGAGAGAGATCTAGAGAGAGGGAGAGGTGTTATAGTTTCGATTGGGCAGTAACTGCGGTGACCAGAAAAGCTTCACGAGATACTTGGGACTGTATTATATTCAGCTTTCTTCCCTTAATTAATTCTCATTGCTTGGAATTCTTTCTAATGTTCTACCATCTTCCTAATATTCAGTAAGAAATAAAAGTTGCATTCTTTTTTAATGTCTAAATCACATTTAATAGATCTTGTACTGTAAGTGTACATAAGATGTGTTCCATAGAAGGTAAAGTATGTTGATATAGGGGGTGTCCATAGTGATTTTGGTAGAGACCAAGCCACTAGTAAAGCTTCACATGGTACATAAAGGGGTGTGTGTGCTCTACCAATAAGCAGAGTGACATTGTAAGTAGAAGATGGAGAAGAAGAAGATCCTCTCTCCATGTGTGAGAGGGGTATTTAGAGAGGAGAGTCCTCTCTTCATGGGAGCTTGAGCTGGTCAGCCCATGAGCTGTCTCATCAAGCTGCCCACTGTCAGTATACAAGGGCAGCAGTGCAGGGATGGGAAATGTCTCAGTGGTGAGCTTCTATGGCTTGCCATGGGTGCCCTCTAGAAAATTCTAGATGTGGGCTTTAAACAATTGGGCACATCTGGTGAGCCTTAGTAAGTAGCATCCGGAACAGATCTGAAGCTCTTCCGGTTACAGTTCCAAAAATACTGATTTGTATTAATAAGCGATGAAAATTTTTGTTGGAATCCAAATGTGCACAATGAAGTGGCTAGAGACGCATTATCGGTTAAATTTTAATAAATTATACTTATTATATATAAATTATATAATTAATTATAATTTAACTCAGGTTAAAATTATAATTTGGCCCGAGTTATAATTTGTAATTTGACCTTATCTAAAACTTAAAATATTTTTGATGAAAGATTTGGATAAGTTATATTAGGTCATGTATTCAATTTTCATTTGTATACAAAAAAATATTTGTTATACAAAAAAATAAAATAAAATATTTTTAGTAAAATTAAAAAATATTTAATAAAATTATAACTCTTCTTAGTGTTGTTTGTTCAGGTACTCTGTATTTAATACAATTTAAATATATTATAATATGAACTAACTAAAATTAAAAAAAATAAATATATATATAATTCTTTAGCCAAACTCAAATGGAAGCTGACTCCGCCTATGCAAGTGATGGATTTGTTGCTTAATCTATTTAATGATAATTTTTCCTTATGATGAGCTCCAATGATTACCCAACAAATACTAAAATCTAAATTATGGATATATGATTGTATTCTTTGGTTATCTCTTCACATTCATAATTCATTGTTCAGTTTCTTAAGTAAGTCCATATCAATTTGTGATGCAAACCTCGTATATCCGTATCTCCCCACCAAATTGTTAGTTTCCTTTTATAATAAAATGAGATTCTTTTGAGCAATATTTACATAAAGAGAGCAGTTGGTTTCGAATTTAAGTATATAGAATCTCACTAATGCATTAAGTGAAGTTGATATAAATAATATAATTCATAACTTTAATATATGTTTTTTTTAAGATATTTCAATCAGTTCATCATTTCGCTACTAGTCTGATTCGGGACGGGCCCCTGGATTAACACTTTAAACCCTTCTCAAAAATGGTATTGGAAAGAATCGAACACATGCTCTTACTTCCCACCTCCTCAACTCCCATGTGCCAACTGAACTACCATTATTTAGTAAAAAAAATGGATCTATAAGTTGATAACCAATACATTTATAGTAAGAATATTCTTATTACCAAAATTTTCTACTACCAACTTATTACCACTCTAATATAACTATGTAATTCGGAGAATACATTAAAATTTATTTTTCTTTTCTTTCTCTTCAAAAACTTTTTAGAAATTGTCGGTTAAAAAGTAAGATCCAACAATGATCAGAATAGTAATAAGTTGATAGTAGAAAAAATGGATAATAAAAATATCTCATAGATTTATGATATAAATTTGCACTAATAGTATGACATCTATCCATTATCCATTTATGCTGATATCAGTGTAACTTAGTTCATGATGCATTTGAACTTTTGAGGGCCATTAGCAACTCCCACTAAAAGAAAGCAAACAAGGAACCTTAACCCTCGAGGGCGAAACTTTCACATCCTAACAATTTACCCTCACCCACGGCAAGATTGCTATACCCTATAACATATAGTTTAAAAAGTTCTCGATGTTAACATCAATTTGACATAGCTATGGTTCTCTCCTTAAAAATATTATGGATGATATACGGCCAAAATAAAATAAATTAAGAATGGACAAGACTTTGGAATGTCACTGATAAGGTAGAATCAATCCAACACGAAAATTTCAGAAACGAAACGACCTTTTTTTATAAAAGCACATGTCATTGTTCATTTCTTGTGCTTATGAATTCAAATAAAATCAACACCACCTTATTCATTTAAAAGTATATTATCAAATAATATTCATGTTCATAATCACAGCCGTATCTGGATAGATAGACAACATGAGATAACAATGTCATTCATAAGAGGGAATAACAAGCTTCTTGACCAAAATCCCACTCTTTACCAAGTTTTTTACTTAAATATCACGCGAATAGTGTTATTTCTCAATCTGACACGGGGCAAGTTCGCTACCCGGTGTAGCGAACTCGGTTTGCTGATGTGTCACGTTTCCAGTGGACACCAAGTTCGCTACACGGGGTAGAGAACTTGGTTTTAACCAAGTTCACTACCCAATGTAGCGAACTCCATACTTTTTTTCTGTTTCCTTTTTTAACTTGGTACTTGTTATCCACTAGAAATGTGACACGTCATCAAACCGAGTTCGCTACACCGGGTAACGAATTTGCCCCCGTGGCAGATTGAGAAATAACACTGTTCGCGTGACATTTAGGTAAAAAACTTGATGAACAGTAATATTTTGGTGAATGTTCTCTTCTTTCTTTAGTGCCATGCATGAACCCCGAAATAGTTAGAGAACAAATTTTGGCCAAGATGGATTTGGAAGTCCAATCCTTACCAAAGGTTTAAATTAAAAAAAAAATATTTGTCCTTTCTAAGATTATATATTTTCACCCCTTATAACTATGTATTTCAGGAAATATACAATTATAATATTAAAGTTTTTTTTTTCTCCTACTTTTCAAAAATTTGTCAACTAATGCAAAGAAAGAATTTTTTTTAATATTATAAATATATATTTCGTAAAATATATAATTATAAGGGATATGTCCAATGAAAATATTTTTTCCAAAAACGAAAAAAAAATGTTATTACACAACTTGGCTTACATTGAGTAATGTGTACAAAAAGGAGTAACATAAAAGACAAAACATTTGAATAAGTTAGGTATAATTTATGGGAATTATACATGTTATGTTACAGGCAAAATTGAATCCATTCCTGCACTAACAAGAACTTGTGGGTCTCATTAGTTAAAAGAAATAAAAAAAACAAAATAAAAAACCAACACAATCGATGTATCAGCTGGATGAATGTTGTTTTTTCCTATAACAGGATAAAAACAACACCTTATACATCATTATAAGTTGGGGATCATTATGTACAAACAGGAATTATAGATAGAATGGTACCGAATAATTTACTCGGAAAGTAATTTGACAATTAGCAAATATGCAACTTAGGAAGGGTGAAACTTTCTTCCACGTGTACAAAGACTAAGATAGAAGCACAAACAGAAAAAATTCACAAAGGGTGATTCTATGTGATGCTCATCCTACCCATCATGGCATTGCAGTCCTATATGGGAAAGCGGTGGTTGGTTGGTGTAACGTTCGAAGGCTATGCCTGTCTCAAACAATCACTATCCTAAACCCCTTAAAAAAAAAAAAAAAAAAAAAAAAAAACCGAATGCCCTTTTCCTTCAGCAACATCCTCGTCCTTTTCCACATACTTTAACTTCCCTCTTCCGCTTTCTAACCTCAGTAACTCAAAACCTTATTCGCACTTCAAGTTCATTTCTTTCTGTCTCCTGAGCAAACCCCAGAAACCAAAGCCACAACCTTTTGTGTCAGAAGAGAATCCAAAAACCATGATGTCTAGAATAAACAACGTTGCTACTTGGATGGATGAAAGAGAGGACGAAAACTCTGCTTCCGCTTCATGGCCTAGAAACTCCAAGCCCAACAACATTATCACAACCACCGACAGAAACACTCATGTTCCTGGTTCTTCTTCTTCTTCTGGTTTTGTTGAAAACAGAGAAGACTTGGGTTCTCTCTGTGCTTTCAAACCCATGCTCGAAATAGACGAGGAATGGTACCTGGGAAACCACCCAGATATTAGGGACATGGCTTTCACCCCAAACTTCGTTGACCCAGATAGCCTTTTGCTTCACACAGTTGACTCATCATCTTCTTGTTCTCCCTCTTCCTCTGTGTTCAACAACCTCGACCCTTCATTATCACAAGTTCAATACTTTCTCCCTCCCAACCCAAAACCCACCACCATCACCACAACAACCTTGCCTTCTCTTCTCAACCCTTTTGATATGGGTTGCGAAGTGGCGTTTCTTGAGCCTCAAGCTTCCACAACTTCTCCAGTGCTCAATAGAGCTTCTTCTTCTTCCCTTCTTGGTGGTTTCGTTGACTTGAGTTCAAAGAACCAGTTAGCCCTTCCTAACATGTGCTCAGATTCCCAGTTAGCAATCGCCAGCATGCACCAGTTGCCACAAAGTAGCACCGGGTTTGCGGGTTTTCAGAACTTGGAAGAAGGTTCTGGAAAGCCTCTGTTTCTGAACAGGTCCAAGATTTTGAGACCCCTTGAATCGTTGCCTCCATCTGGAGCACAACCCACTCTGTTTCAGAAGAGAGCAGCACTAAGAAAAAACATGGGATCAGAAGGTGGTGTTGGTGTTCCAAATAGGGGCAAGTGTGAAGTTGGTGAAGGGAGTGATAAGAAGAGGAAGGTGAGTAGCGTGGAGGAGATAGAAGATGCAAGTTTTGATGGGTCAGGATTGAACTATGATTCTGATGACTTGACTGAGAGTAATAACAATAATAAGATGGAAGATATTAATTGCAAGAATGGTGGAAACAGCTCCAATGCCAACAGCACCGTCACCGGTGTGGATCAGAAAGGGAAGAAGAAGGGAATGCCTGCTAAGAATTTGATGGCTGAACGCCGCCGTAGGAAGAAGCTCAATGATAGACTCTATATGCTGAGGTCCGTTGTTCCAAAGATTAGCAAAGTAAGAGTTTTTTCAGCCTCTTAAATTCAAACATTTTAATTTTCAAGTTCTTATTGTGTTTCAGCAAGTTTGATTTTTCTTCTTGGTTGATGCTTATATTATATTATATGTCATGCACATACACCACATGGTTCATGATTTTAAAAGAATATTTGATATGTGAGTCAATGTTAAGATAAGGACTAATTATGTCAACACTTAGAGGAATCTAGTTTGGTAACAATAAATAACACAGGATGCCTTCAAAGTATTAATGCTTTGTTAGTGGGGTTTGTGGTGAATCTATCTCTGGATTCCATGACATGGTTTGATTTGATAGATGGACAGGGCTTCAATACTTGGGGATGCAATTGAGTATCTGAAGGAACTTCTGCAAAGGATCAATGACCTTCATAACGAGTTGGAGTCAACACCTGCCGGCTCTTCACTCACACCTGCCTCAAGCTTCCATCCTTTGACACCTACTCCACCTGCACTGCCAAGCCGTATTAAAGAAGAACTATGCCCCAGCTCATTGCCAAGCCCCAATGGCCAATCTCCCAGGGTAATGTTCCATGGTCCTCTCATGTCTCATTTTAACATTATCTCATCACATGAAAATCTCAGTCATTCATTGATGGATCAACTGTCACAACTCACAATGTTAACTGCAGAACTGTAAATATGTCAATGAATGAGTGCAATTTTTCACATAGTTAAGCATTTTGTTGCTATTAAAAAAAATCACTCCCTATTAAACTTTGACTTATGAGGATAGGGGTTAGGATAATACTAATCCTTACAGTCAGTCTTATCCTTCCTTGCATATTTGTAAAGAGATTGTTTTCTAGATTTAAACCTTTCAGTCATATAAGAGGAGCTCTGTCTATGCTATAGACTCGCCCTCTTATTTTGTTGTTATTAGTATGATGTAACTTAAACTTATCCTAATGCAATTGTGCAAATATTGTTTTAACCTTGTATAGGTTGAGGTTCGGTTGCGCGAAGGAAGGGCTGTAAATATCCACATGTTTTGTTCCCGCAAACCTGGCCTGTTGCTCTCAGCCATGAGGGCTTTGGATAACCTTGGGTTAGATATCCAGCAGGCTGTTATTAGCTGTTTCAATGGATTTGCTATGGATATTTTTCGAGCTGAGGTAAGATTTTTATTCTGTTATTAACACCTACACCACTTGGATCAAATCATGGTGCATCCACACTGCAAGGTCAATTGGTTTTTCTTTTTTACCAAATCCACGCCATAGTTGCAACTGTTCATCACAAATGGACTTTGTATCCAATCTATCTGGTACCTTGTTATAGATACGAGAGTAGATATATATTTTATGTGGAAATTCCTTAAAACTTAAATGTATTACCAAGAACCTGGTATGATAAGTGTCATTATCCATTCTAACCCGTGTATGATATTCTAGTGATTTCTACATCCATTAATGGCTCAAGTGTTGAATAAGAAAAAATTCGATATTCTTCATTTAGTAATTAGGAGGATTTAGAATTATTTATTAAAAAACCTTGACTGCTGTTAAAGAGATTATAGTTTTTTATTTTTATTTTTATTTTTGTCTCGGTAAAAAGGCTAACCTTCCCTCTCTTTCAGCAATGCAAAGAAGGTCAGGATGTCCATCCAGAGCAAATCAAAGCAGTACTCTTGGATTCAGCTGGCTTCAATGGCATGATCTAACTAAGTTTTGGCAAGAAAAGAAACTACAAGATGCCATTTCAGACAGTAACTTAGCAAGTTTAAATAGTTTTACTCTTTAATGCCCATAATTCAACTGTATGATACTGGCTCTGGTAACTTCAGTTTAAGTTGAATTAGAAGTTTCCACAAGAGTTTTACCCCTTTAACAAAGTTTCATTGCCTGGCACTTCATGTTCCTCGGGTTCAGTTAGTCCAAGGACATTTCTGAATGCCCTTTTTGATGTGAAGCTTATATTTGAATGTCCAACTTACTGTTCTCATTATACAATTTTCAGAAAGGGCTTTAAAATGACCTTTTTCTTATGTTTTTCCCCAACTAGACATGGTCATCACAAATTTATTATATCTTCACTTTTAAACCATAAAGTATAGGAAAAAGAAGAAAAGAGTGTCACGCATCTGCAGCAAAATTAAAGGTTTCAGCTACCGCAGTTCCTAGTGGAGTCATCTTTTAATTTAAAATCCGAAAAGGGTCCCAAAAGCACCGAGCGCTGAAAACAATGAGTTGCATTAGAAACGTGCCATTATGGTACTCTTATTTTTAAATACAGAAATTGATCTTAAATGATAGCGCTTCCTAGAAGGCAGCTTCATCTCGTAAAACTAGCGTCTATCCCAAGGATATTAAGACCCAAGCATTCCCTTCCTGGGTCTATTATGACACTAAAATTCTAAGTTGGCCACACAAAATTTCTACGGCCATGTGACCTCGCTCTTGCTAGACACCGAGGTGCAAACATAGAATTTGAGCAAAATTTAATTATACATCTTGCAAAATGCAATTGGAATATCCACAATTTTCATCTCACAAATTATGATTAATATGAGAATAAAAATCAAAATCACAAACTAGATACCAATCATAAGGCTGCCCTTGTATATGAACTACATTACATTAATGATTAATGGGTTGGTGTTCAGAGGGTGGGAGGGAAACAACTATGTACAAGGTACGATTGTTGAAAAATGCAAAGGCCTATATCACCGCACATCACCTCGCTCAAAACACGACGATTACATACTAGGTGTATAACTGCGCAGAGGCATATAGCACCAATTCCAGGATACGTCCAAAATTGGATGGATACTCTTTTATCATGCCATCTATATTCAGATTCTAGACAGTCACTTGATAAACAATCAAGAATTTAGAGTCACATTCTCCAACTGGATGACTTCATGACAGTCCCCTACTTTCCAGCCCGTAATCTCTGGAACAAAACAAAACGTTACACACCATGAGAAAATTCAACTGACCAAGATTAAAAATTCACATAAGCAAACAATAAATGAGGCAATTTCATCTCGAACAGCCAACGTCTTTGAATCCAATGCTACCTGGAAAGGAAGGAAGAAAGTTACCTTAAGCTATGGACGATCTACTAATTATTAGGCATCGAAACCATTCTCTGAATTTAACTTCTGATGCAGCTGACATTTAACTTCTTTTGCATCACCACCTTCGCTAGCTGACTGATTCTCTTCAATTTTTGAACTCAAGGCACCCGGGCTCATTTTCTGAATCTCCTCTTTTGGGTAGATATAAATTTTGCGAACCATGGCACAAAACTCCCTAAATTAAAATATAGAATTATGTGAATTATGTCCCATTCTCAAGGAAAAAATAGAACATTAAAATAATCAGCTAAAAAAGGACGTATAATCAGATACAGATCCTTACTGCCATGGATCATCGCCTACAAGCATCATGTCACCCTCATTATCAGTATATACAATAAGCCAATTCTTCTTTGTTGACAATAATTCACCTCCAAATTCAAACAGCTGATCCAATTCAGCAACTAATTCATCATAGTTACTGTACTTTGTAAGGTCCAGTGACCTACCAAGCGCAATTCCCTTCTTGTGAACCTAAAACAAAAAGAATGTGATTAATTTTCCCTGCATATTTCTAGATCTCATTTTCTTTTAGCCAATCGACAGTAAAGGACCTTACTTTAGTGCAACTCCTGGCAGAACCACTGAGTGGTTTGGCTTGAACATCTTTCAGATGCAACTGAGAAGTTTGTAATGGCTTTTCCCCGTCATCAATGGCAACCAGACCACCTTCCGAATTTGAGCCCTTGGGGTAGTCTGACTTCTGATCATTTTCAAAAGTTCGTTGTTGGTGTAACAAAAGATGTGTCTGACCAGCTGGCTCGTTTGTAACATTTCTTTGTGATACAGAAGGCTCGGGTGCAGTGGGGCTACTGATAAGTGAGATACCAAACAGCTTACAGTCACCATCTTTTGTTTTCACAGCCTCGCAAGTTTTTCCTGTCGTTGTTTTGGACATAAGCTCTCTGGAAGGAGGACTCTGATACCGAGTTGGGGGTGGGGGTGGCATCAAGTTTCCATGCGGATGCTCAACTTTATGACCATGAAGCACAGGGTATTCACCAAATGCACTGTACCTCAAATTCCCTCGAGCTTGGTAAGCTGTATCTCCACCAATTACAGAGCATTTTGTATTAGAGTCCAAGAGGTTCAGTGATAGACTATTAGAGGGCATTACAGGCCAAGGATGATGCAAATGATGTTTGCCTTCATGGTCCAACGAATGCTTTCTAGCAGAATAACCTACAGGGCTCATTTGATCAACCAAGGATAGATGGGAAGGATCTCCACTGGCCCCAAAGCCAGAAAGAAGATCTGAATATGTAGGCTCATTCCTCCCCATTGACATCCAGCTCTCTGAACCATACCTCCTTGTAGTAGAAACAACATCAATCTTTTCATCATCTATTGCAGGTGGCCATACGACAGACTTCTCTGCAGTATCAGACTCATTGCTTTCTGCAAAATTGCCTCTCAAGGTCGCGAATTCTTGACCTTGCAAAACCCTTGAAAACCCATTTGCTGGTAAAGGGTCTACGCTAACCTTAGATGATGCTGTTAATCACCCAAAATATATCAGGCCCAACTTAACACAAACTTTTCTACAAAGAGAGGATTCCTTAAAACATCAAATATCCAGAGCCAGATAACCATACCTTCTCGAGTAAGAACCGAAGAATCTGGGGATGATGGAACTGCATTAGACCTAGGCCTTTTAGGTCTGGGCATTGAATGAGGATTCAGGGCTGGAGGAGCAAGAGCAGGCTCTATTTTCCAAGGTGAAACTCTCTCAGGACGAGGTAAGTTAGATGTTTCATCCCATCTCACCTGAATAACAAGAGTAACTCAATTATAGTTTCCCTTGTTTAGCAAGTCATAAGTAGTTGCACAAAGACTAGAGATACAACCTTGAGGCATCTCCATCTGGACTCTCTCCACCTTTGTGAATCAGCATCTTCTATTCCAACAATGGTACCAGTAAACCTACCATTTTAACAAACCATGTCAAGGGATTTCTTCCATTCAAATTGTATCTTTTGTAATGATACAACACGCAAGGTTTACATTATGTTAACAGTAAGAGGAAAAAGAAAAGAAAAATAAATCAGGAAAAACAATGACAACTCATTACAAGATAAGGACAGCATCAACCATTCATACCTCTGCTCTGGAGCCTCTTCACCTTCAAACCTCATTTTGAATCGCATTCCTATGGTATAATTATTTTTTAGGGATTCCATATATTGGTCATACGGAACAATGAATTCCGCGGGACTGGTCCTGCAAAAGAATATTAGCAGTAAATGCTGTTAATCCTGATGTGGGGAATGAATCAATTACAACGAAAAACTTGGTGGGAGGCTGGGAGCTCATCCACAGGCACAAACACACCCTCACAGTATAGGAGGTCAGACTGAAACTACCAAGATATCAAGGTTCAACAGATTAGTTTAAGGAATATGTTACAAACCTAGGTTTATAATAAACAGTGAATATGGTCCCAGTGGAGATGGCATGCCAAGCAGTTGCAAGGACCCCAAGATGCATGCTGTGGCTAGAGATAACTGAGGATGGAACATTACTCTGCTGTCTCATTGCTCGCCTGACACCAACACGAAGTTCCCCATTCTCACCTCTGCAAGTCCCGCACTTAGTCCCATTCAAAATGGAAAAGCGAAAGTAACAAACCAGTAAGTCACGAGAAGAACGAACCTTAGAAATATAAATGCATCCCCAGCAACTAGCCTCTTGGAGCTAACAAAAACACTCCAACCACTCTGAAGCAAGTGTCTACGAGGTTGACCTGCAATTTACCCAACTTATCAGTCACTATCCATGGACAAGACAGAACAAAGACTAACTGAAGAATATTGACAACAAAACCACGTAACTAGAACGTGAGCGAGATCAGTTAGCAATTACCCCGAAAGATATGTCTGAATCGCCACTCACTCCCATGCAAATCCTTAGCTACCAATTCCTGGGTTGGTGGCTGCTTTGACATGTCCTGTCAACAAACAAGTGATTCAACCCACGTCAGCTGTAATGAAAAAAAAAAAAAGCACAAGGAGGAAACAAAAAAGGCGAGAAGCAAACCAGTGGCGGAAGACATTCATCAGCATGGCGTCTCAGCACGGAAAACCCACCATGGGTACTAGTATCCGAGGCCGTCAGAGTTTTACAGAATGAATGAACGTGAAATCTCCGAGGCGGAGGTGGTGGAGGCTCTTTCTCCACAGCATTCTCATCTTGCTAACAGACCCACATCCAAAAACATAAAAATCATATTTCAAGAAGCGAACAACAAGGAACAAAAAAAATTACAAAATCAAAAAGCCAACAAGTTGAATGTGAACTTACATTTGGCTCCGGAAGTAAGGTCACCTGGGCAAATACCTCGTCCGTGTCGGGTTCCGCCTGAAACAATCATTCAATATGAAACTCACATCTCCATGAGAATTACAAGAACAAGTGGCATACATAGATCGAACAACACTACCTTCAGCTGCACGTTGATAACCCGACAAAGGATCTTAGATGGTAGATTGTACAATGGCATGTGTTGGTCCGCCACCTGATTGGTGGACGCCTCCACCTAATTTTATAGAGAAAAACCATGTAAAATACAACAGCCAGGAACAAAGAAAAAAAAATTGAGCACATCTAACCCCAAGAATAAAAAGAAGTGAAACTGTTGCTGGTTGTTACAAATCTGAGTTAGAAAACATTAAAAAAATAAATAAAATAAAATAAAAAAAATACATACATAAAATGAAACTAGCAACCATGAAGAAGAAGAAGAAGAATAAATTTTACCTGCTCAATATGTCCCTGAGGGAAATAAAAGACGCGTTCTCTTTCCCGTGGCACGGTTACAAGGGGTCCAGCACAGGCATGCCATAGCTCCCTGAAAAGTGCAGCTTCCCCCTCTACCATAACCGCAAAACAAAACAGAACAAAACGGTTACAATCTTCGAGAATATTCCACACACAAAAAAACGAAACTAGCTACGCTCTCGAGTTACCTACCTCTTGCCGTGAACGACGAATGAGCATTCTGACCCTCGGAAACACCGTTCCTGCTACTATCGTTATGGTTCACACAATTCCCCTTCATCGTCGCCTCCGTTGATGCCATTTCCACAGTCCTTCACCACAGATCTCTCATCTGAAACACTCCTTCGTCAAATTCACAAAACCCTCACCTTCTCCTACGTCGTCGTTTTCCCTTCTTCTCAATAAGCCACAGCAGAAAACCAAAGAAACTCTCACAAATTCACTTTTAGAAACCAACAAACTCGCCAGTTCCTTCTTTCACACACAATTGAACTTCTCAGCTTTTCTCAGCTCTCTCTCTCTCTCTCTCTCTCAATCTCTCTTTCTCTGAACGGAGAAATGGTTACAGGGAAAATGAGAACAAAGACTTAACCAGAGTGGTCAAAACAGCGTGCAATGATTTCAACCGCGGTCAATCCCTTAACCAATCGTTGGAAGGCACGGACATTTGCCGGTTGCAGTGACCTTTCCGACCGGGTATAGCCAGTTATAACGACCCACGAGAAAAGGGGTAAGGGGCGATCAATGTTTTTTTCATAAATAAAGGCGGCTGGGGACAGACGGCGTTAACGCTGTGTCGAAGAGGGATTGGATTGGCATGTAACGGCGTGTGTCGTGACGGTCGCACGAAAGTTGTTCTGTTTTTATTGGGAAATGGCATTGTCGTGCTATTAACAGGCAGGGCTTCATGGAAGGGATTGGATTAGATTGGCTTGGATGCAATTGGCTCTACGGAGAGAGTGCGCATTTAACACACCCCCTGCGCATCTTAACCTTACTTTGCTTTCTCCACTTCCTTTTTTTTTTCTTTTCTTTTTTTGTATGCATTAAATTTAATATAATTAATTAATTTAAATTTAATACGCAACCTGCATTTGTCGTCCCATTTGCAATGTATCTCTCTCCTTTATCTCATCTCGTGAAATATTGCTCTTGCCTTTATATATATATAGGGAGAATGCATGTTATCATCACTGTGAGATATGAATATATCGGAAACATTTCATGGTGCTGGCAGGTGCAGGGAAATGTAAGTATGGAACTCATAAATTGTAACCTTATTTAAAACCAATAAATGAACTTCGGATTCTTCCTTGCTTGGTCAAGCTCTGATGCTCAATGAACCTTTTTTTTTAGGAAGAATGCATGCATAATTGCATATACACGTCAGCAAAGAGTTGAACTACGATTTTCCTTTTATATACTAAGTGTTTTTTTTTCTATTAATGAAAGAGCCACCAATATTGAATATATTCATCCAAACTCTAAAACAAAACTATCATCTTTAAAAAACAAAATAATAAGGAAAAATCTCTTTTAATTTTTTATAATTTACAAACAAAAATAAATTTGTTTTCAAAATTTTAATGAACTAAATCTATTGCAGTATATCTTTCTCTGGTGTTATTATATACTTCTATGGTGTAGTTATCTTTCTTTTGGATAATTATCTAATTTATTTCCAATTCAATGCATTTGTAGAACATATTTTTTTATCAAAATGAAAGGAACTTAAGAAATAAAGCAAAAGAGCTTTTATTATCTATATTATTATTAAAATAAAGTTTTTATACAAAATGTGGATACTTAATTTTTGACTATGAAAGGATGAATACCTTGGGTGCGCTCTGATAAAAAAAAATTTGACTATAATGTTATACAATCGCTTCGTGATAGTAAAAATGCTACGTAATTCTATTTTTCCAGTTCAACAAGTTTTTTTCGACAAACAGACGGATTTTCTCCGTGCATCGCACAGGTAATATATTAGTATACTTTAAATTAAATCGAGTATGATTAAATTATTATTTAACTTATAACAAATTTATTTTAGAGTAGCTTTACCTTGTAAAAAAGTATCATCTTGACGCCGAATATATGGAAAGTAGATTAAACAGAAAATTAAGATTGGTATGATAAATTTTATGTTCTTAATTTTGATTATTGAGATAATAGAATATTCAACAACCTTGAGTAATACTGTAATAGTCTTCAATATGCTTTTTATATAATGTTATTAATCTTGAAATGCAATAAAATAAAAATAAAAACATAAAATTATGAAAAAGCCATTAAAATTAAAAAAAAAATGGCTTAAAAACTCAAAAATGATGTAATGAGATTATAATATTTAATCATTTTTTAGTTATTATATAGAAATTATACATTGTGTAGGATGCAAATATATACCGTTTGATATGTAAAAAAAAGTATAAATAAATTGATGATTGTAATTAAATAGTAATAGAGGATTTTATTAATAAATTGACTAAGTTTGAAATAAAGAAAAATTTATAAAAAATAAAGGATAAAAATTGAAAATAAAAAAATAATTAATTTGTTCTTAGATATTCAATTAGCATAGTACATCCTACACGACAATTGGATCCTTGGACTACAAAAGGACACGAGTTTCAGTACATTTGTTGTGCTGAATGTTGCGATACAATGTCATGCGTTGCCTCCTTGTAAAAAAAACCCCTTCTTGTTGTCACGTTTGCTACATGTATAGACTAATCCTTGGGAGAAATTCTCAAATATTAATAGCATATTATGTTGGGGTTTATATTTATGCAGCTTTTGTACGTGCAACAATCAAATACTTATCGTATATATACTTGAAAACATTAAATACGAAAAATTATAACCATACAAAGGATGAAAGCATAAAATGTAGAGAATCATAACTACACACATGTCGTTGTTGTACGTAAAGTGACTGCAGAAATAATTTTACTTATTATATATCATTAAATGTATATTATTTCAATTATAACTTTAAAATTATAATACAAATTAAAAATAGTAATAGTGCATATTAAAAAAGTGATACACCATCAATAATATGGCTCTTTCACTCATTAGGGGTTTTTATTCCTTTAATTTACCAATTTGGTATTTGGTTTAAGGTATTTACGAATGTGGGTCAATGCGAAGGGGACCCAGCGTCACTGAGTGCTGCTACCAACCTCCCGCGTCACTCACACTTTTTTTATTTTACTTTTTACTTTTTTCTATTGAGTGCCGCCCCCTTCCCCTGGGACACTCACAGAATTGTGCCAAGTGGCACAATCTGGTTACTCCTATTACCGTAAAACTTCGGAAAGCCATAACTTTTGACTCAGGTATCCAAATCAGATAATTTTTGTTTTGATTTCACATAACTTTTTGAGATCTATCTAATGACACCTCATTTGATATATTTTATCTTCCATTAATATAGTTCAAGTTTGCAACACTAATTACACTTTTTTACATATTTGAATTATGTTTGTGAGAGATAAAATATGTCAAATGAGATGTCATTGCGTAGATCTCGAAAAGTTATGTGAAATCAAAAAAAAATCATCTGATTTGAATATCCAAGTTAAAAGTTATGACTTTCCGAAGTTTTGCGGTAACAGGAGTAACTAGATTGTGCCACTTGGCACAATTCTGTGAGTGCCTCAGGGGAGGGAGGCGACACTCAATAGAAAAAAGTAAAAAAAATAATAAAAAAATGTGAGTGACGCGGGGGATGGTAGCGGCACTCAGTGACGCTGGGTCCCCTCACGTCACTAAATGACCCTCATTCGTAAATACATCGAACCAAATACTAAATTAATAAATTAAAATCACAAAAAAACCCCAATTGGTGAAAGAGCCTCAATAATATATTTGTAGATTAAGACTCTAAACGACGTGTATATGGGAAATTTTTTTTCAGAAAATCCACATAAGAAATTCTCTATATATTTTCAGCGTATCATTACAACTTGGCCGACAAGGATATCTACGTACGCACATTTATGACAAATGTATATATAGGGAGGCCGGGCCATAATATTGCATGTGCTAGCATTGAAAGCTTCCATCAAATTCCCATCCCATGAATAACAAATGTTAATTTTGGATTATTTGTATACTTTAAAAAAATACCTGTACATGTCTCAAGAAGTAAAACTGAATAAATTTGCAATTTTAAGTTGTAATAGTTTTTTTTTTTTTTTGAATATTACAGGAATCGAACTTGCAACCTAATACACACTACACACACCCAACACTACTAGGCTAATCCTAGTGGTGCAGTTGTAATAGTTTTTTATTCCAAGGTTCAATTGAAATAGTATGACACAGTTGAACATGGGTAGATTGATTATTAGTATTGCTTAGAAATTTAAGTTTTCACATACACTCTCACCCAGTATCTCAGGTGAAAACAATTATTTACCAATGGTCTATGGTTCCATTTCAAAACTATACTATCTCTTCTTAGTATTGCTTAGAAATTTAAGTTTTCACATACACTCTCACCCAGTATCTCACATGAAAACAATTATTTACCAATGGTCTATGGTTCCATTTCAAAACTATACTATCTCTTCTTGGGGTTGCCAAATTTGATATTGATATATTATATGATATGGTCAATAAGTTGAGTTGAACCAATCAAAAGTGCTGTTGCTGAACGATTACCTACTCGTGTAGATTGATCCATAGTTGTATATTTCTTCTTCTTTTAACGCCTAGTTGTATATTTCAACCATGCAAGCAAGAAGTTCTAAATTTATTATAGAAAAAATATTTCTGTATTTGTTGCAGAAAATATTTCTCTACCATACTCATATAAAAGTAAATGGGTATCACTAACTTATTCGCTCTCTCTTTTTCCTAATGAGACCCACTTATTTTTATGTGAGTGTAGTAAAGAAATATTTTCTGCAGCAAAAGAAGAAATATTAAATTTATTTATTATATATGTATCAACTATTATTATTTCCAACAGACTAGAAAAATATAAAAAGAAAAAGAAGTATTATTTTTTCCGTCAAATTTATTTTCACACATGAAGGTTGCGAGTTGTTTATAAAGGGATGTAACGTGCACGTTACTTTTTTTTTTCTAATTACTTGTTATAACAAATGAACGTGAAATCTTAAAAATATCCTAGTATTTTGCAACGTTTATAATATTGAATTGTAGAAGCTACTTCTAGACTTTTTAGCCATGCTAAAATTAAGGCATGTTCAAATGAGAACTGCTATTTAATTAATGATTCTCGTGACCTGCCAGGATAGTTTTTGTGCCAATTTTATCAGAACTTGATAAATAAGATTATTATTTTTTTGTGAAAAACCAAAAATTAAGATTTCAACTGATCCATATTCTACCAAAACAAATCTGAACTTTTGTTATTATACAGATTGAAAAAAAAAAAGTTACTGAAAGGGGCAGGCGGAAATACTATTAATTTTTGTGATGAGGAACAAACTACGGAAAATAGGGATATCAAGGAGGAAAAGATACGAAGATTTTAACCTAGATAAGAACCAAACTACTGAAAATTTATTTTGGTATTTACATGTGATGGTAAAAGGGATTGGAACATA